AAAATCATATAGAAGGACCATATTGTGAACAAGCTTTACTTATAAAGCTTGTAATGATTAGCATTCTGAATGGAATATAAGGTACCAAAATGTTTCTCCAGTGCAGGATAATGGAAGGACATGAAGAAGCACAGCTAGTTGGAGACAAAGCCCAAAGATGACTGGGAATCAGAAAAAGTCCCAGCACAATGGCCTTATTAGGATTGCAGAATGCTATGATGTCAGGCTGGTGTAGGGTGCCATTCAACCAAAATCAAAGCGGAGGAATGGCTCTAAGTTTGGCATTCCATGGATCAAGGATAGCAAGCAGAGAATCTGGAACAGGAAAAGAAAAGGTTATGTTTTAGTTTTGGAGAAATGAGCACACAAATCCCAGTGGCAGGATCACTATGTTCAGTGCACAAAGCTGGGAAATATGTACAAATGGCCTGACTTAAGAGTGATGTGATAAGTATTTCATCACTAATTATTTTAGTTGTCAGGAATAAGTTAATTTCAAAATTAGCTTTTTAGAGGTCTTTTTGAAAGGCGTTTTGACAGGAACATCCCAGATTTGAAGCCATTTTTAAAAATCAACCCTAAATTAGCAAGGAAAGTCATCCTTAGTTTTATCTTTTGTATTTTTATAAATATTTCCAAGGTGTAGTATCAGAATTGGCCAGTAAAGGACCTAAGCAGGGTTTGGGGATGGAGAAACTCATCAGGGAATAATGAGTATTGCATTGTTTGCTGACAGAGAACACACTTCTTGTTAAAAAGCTTCTAGGTTTAATCACCAGGAAATGTTAGGCAAGAAACCTGTCTGATACCCTGCAGAGCCACAGAACTAAAAAAGAACAAAAGGTGAGAGCCAGATGAGGTCAAAATATTGTGGCACCAAAGACAAGTTTGTTTCAGTGTGAGCTTTCATAGATCAAACTGCACACGCTGAAATAAAACCCTTAGTCTTTAAAGTGCCACAATATATTGTCTTTCTCTCATCATCGAGTAGACCAGATAGGCGGGGTATAAATCAAATAAATAAATAAAATAAATAAAAATTATCTTTAAAAAATAGTTTCCCAACATGCTGAGACAGGTTAATATGGCTACTTCTTTGGAAACTACTCAATAGAGCTGATAATGCTGAGATAGTGGTACCAACTATTTGACTAAATATAAAGCGGCTTCCTGTTCTAGTCTTAATTAGCATGGATTATTGGATATCCACGGCAGTTACATCATTCCCATTCACTCAGTGGGTTTCCTCACAGATTGGATGCAGCCCTTAAATTTATGGGCTGGGTGTGTTTGTTATGTAAAATGATTTGGCTGATGTGAATAAAATGGCTTCATGAGGAAGAACCCCGTACTTAAGTTTAGATTAACCTCAACATTAAAGCTTCTTTTTGGGACAGGGAGTAGAGATGGGCATGAACTTCAGTTTGGCTCGGTTTGGTGTGGTGTCCACACAGGTGTTCTGTGGGCACCATGTGCTTCCCTCCCCCCCACACCGCCTCCACATGATCTCATACTCACTGGCTGTAGCATGCTTCCCTCCCACTCCTTCTCTACATGGTTGCCTACTCACCGGCAGCGCTGCAGGCCTCCTGGCTCTACCTCCTTGTCCGAGTGGATGATCGTGCAGAAAAGGCAGTGGAGGGAAGCGTGTTGCAGTCAGTGAGGGGGTGGTTGCGTAGGGGAGGGAAGCATGGAACATTTGTGTGGGAGCTGCACCAAAGCAGGCCAAACTACCAAACCATGGTTCATGCCCATGTCTAATAGAGAGAGCTTTTTCTCCATGTACGATTATATTTTGCTGGTTGCGTTGTACATCATTTGAAAGCACTTCACAGTTCATAGTTTTCTAATATCTATCGTGTGATGCACTTTAAGAGTTAAGATGACTGTGCAGACAATATACCAAGCCTATTACTATCAATGGGTTGCAGAGGAAATAATGTAAAGGAAAGAATATATAGCAAATGTTTACCGGCAGCTTTCTCCTTGATTAAGGCAAATATCTTCCATTTAGTTCTGTAAGTGGAAACAGTCAACCAGCAAGCATAGAAACACTGAGAGTTGGAAGAGTGAAATGAAAGGTCATTTAGCCAAAGCAGATGAAGGCTACAGTTCTGTGCAGAGTCACTTGAAACTCAGACTTATTAAATTCAGCAAGGCTTTCTACTGAATAAAAAACAGGATTGGGTGTTTACACTGCAGTCCTGTGCCTCTCCAAATTCAACGGGACTTGGTCCCATGCAGCTGCTCCTTTACCCATTGAGACACTGTCTTAGTGCACTTAACTGTTCTATTGCTGGTTTGTGTTGATTTTGGCTTTTTTGAAATCTTGTTTGTATAAAGAAACTTACATGTCGTAATACTTCTGTTATTGCATTGGGTTTACCATGTTTGAAAGCAATTTTAAATTACCTAACTACATGATTTACATCTAACTGCATTTTGGGGGGTGGAAAGTGGTGTGGTTTTTTTTTAAAAAAATACACACTTTTTAAAAACCTCTTTTGGCACATGTAAATGCCTATGCCAGAGTAAACAGTGTCTGTTGGGGTGTGTGGGGTTTGCTGAAATGGGTGCCAAGTACAAGGGTTTTGGACTGCAGTCTTCATTCTCTCCCGCCCCACATCCAATCCTATTTTATCGTTGCCTCACTCTAGTGCTATGCCAGTTCAAAGCTTATATAGAAATTTTAAATATTAAAAAGCATGAGGTGACTGGGGACAGGCTGCTGCTGTGATGCTGTCACTCCTACAGTTGTACTAAAAAGTCCTGTTCTTGCTCCCTTGACCTCCTCTGGTGCACCAGTGGAAGGAGCCCTGAAGCTGCCTCGTCTGCCATGGAGTGAGGATGGCTTTCTGTCTTGCTGAGAACCTACTCCGCTCTCCTCTCCTCCCTGGGTTGATGCCTCATCCTTGAACCTCCCCCTTGCCAGAACGTGGGACTGTGCCCCCTCCCTCCCTCCCTGGCTCCATGTTGTTCCTGGTGGTTGGAACAAGCCAGCTTCCACAAGAATGCACACACACTAACATAAAACCATTTGCTGTTCTTTTGATTTCTAAAACAACCCGAACCGACTTCCAGTTTAATTCAACTGTTCAGTTGTGCCCTTATATTTGAATTTTGCTTTTTCGTGTTCATGCATCTCAAACACAAACAGCACAACTTTGAACCGTATTTTTTTAAGCCATTCTCTTTTCTGAATATATAAAAAGAGGCTTCTAAGTAGGGCACCACTCCAAAATGTTCCTAGTTTGAAAGGCTTTGTCTGGGGGCATTTAGTAATGAAGTGTGGCTTGTTGTGAGTCATAATTACCTTTTGTCCAGAACACTCCTAGGGCAGCGTCAAAGAACAGCTCCCCCCATTTGCCTGAATGCTGCTACGTCTTCCATTTCATGCTCAGAGCCATTTACCAGAGGTTCTACACAAACATAATTGTCAACCATGATTGAGCACTAGACCTAACTACCTAAAGACTAATAGCAATCCATACTAAAAACATAATTAAAATGAGTTTGAAAGTTTTGGCTCATGTTAAACTTTCAATATTGCATCTGTATTGAACAGGCTATGGCTTGTGTATGTTCTAGCCTATCCACCTATTCTGCACGCAAACTAGTGGGTCTTTCTCACAAGTAAATGTGCATTGCATTACAGCCTTAGTTATTTTGAATTTGTCTACTGTAAATTTTCCCCTCGTTTTTGTTCCCCTCTATGTGGTTTCTGGAGGTAGGCCATAGGGCAGCAAACTAACCATGTTCTAGTGTTTTGTGGAAGAAAGAGTTCCAGTCATGGTTAATGCAACAAACCATGTTTAGTGCTTTCCATGTACAAATGTTAGCTGTATTAGGCGGTTGAACAAATGGTGGAGCAGGAATGAGCAAAGATCAGAGCTCCTCTGGATCTTTGGTTCATTAACTAAGTTAATAAGTTAATTAGATTACAAGTAGTTAGGCCTTGCTAATAGGATTTAAATGTATTAAAATCCCTTTAGAGATGAACCAAGGAATGATAAATTTATCGCCTTTGGAAATAATAGTACACAATAATAATGTACGGTGTCTCTGTAATACAATTTAAGCTTCACAGAATCACAGTAAAAGTATGCATGAACTCTTGCAGTTCCTGCAAAATTACAGAACTCTAAATATATTACTGACATACAGCAGCGTCCAGAGTCTTACCTGTTGGCATCAGGAGTAGGGGAGTGGGTATAATGTAGACAGCCTGGCAGCTGCAAGCTTCCACTGTGAAATCATTGTCCCACACTAGCATTTTCACTGCATAGAGCGCAAGCAGTTTCCAAGCTGCCCCTAGAAAAATTCTATTTCTTATCATTCCCAGAACAAGATCTGCCAGCAACCCCACTGAACACCCATGAGATTTCATTTCTTTCTCCTTGTTTTGTAGCATACCCCATCCTGAAATCTCAGGGTAGGCAACAACAGAAGGAGATCATCAAAACACACACACACACCCCATCACTATATTGCTAAAGCCACTTCACCCATCATTGTGGAGAGATAATGACTTTCTCAAGGCTACTCAATGAGCTCCATAATCCTATCCTTTCACCATCAATGTGTGCACTTAAGAGAGGCACCTAGACGACACATTGAAATGTGCTCCAAAGGCCAGGTTCTGCCCTCCAGCATGATGGGAAGAATACATCTCTGTTCAAATTGTGTTGCTCCAAAGAGAACTGACCCAATGCGAAGGAGAAGCTTTGCCCCCATGATTATTAAGGAGAGGACAGTTATTGTGTGCATGTGTATGTTTAGGGGAGAGTAAATATTAAGCCTTGAAACAGTCCCAATTGTTACTTGAAACTGAAAGGCAAATTATTTTGTCTGTCATGATGGGGGGGGGGAAGGAAGGCAGCCCACAGTAGGGTGGCTAAAGGGCATAACAACTCCAGATCTGCTCCATCAGCATTACAGTCTCCTTGTAAATATGAGTCTACCTGGTCCTTGAATTTTAATTGCAAATGTCTCTGATTTAGAAGTTGGTGTTGTCTTTGAAGAAACAGAGGCCTGTGACTGGTGGAGTCTGGGTGCCCTTCTCTTTGAACTCCTCACTGGGAAGGTAGGCAGCGTTGATTACTGTTCAGCAAAAGTCAGACAGCATGTGTGAGAAACCTAGAGAAAAGCAGCAGTACCTTTATTTATGAAGGTGCAAGATAAAAATTGCTGCATCATACAGAACTCGACCTGGGAAAGGGAATTAAGAGTAACTGATTCTGCTCCCTTATCTTGCTTTGTAGCTGACAAAGGAGCAGTATTTGGGTTAATGCAGACACTATTAAGAAGATATAGGTCATACTGATTTCATCTGAAGCACAAGAAATTTTCCAGAAATGAAAACAGTGTACCCCCTATGAAAATAAAGCATTTAGGTGCAATATGTGCTTAGCAATGAATTCACATTGCTGGGGATAAAGTGGGGATAGGCTTGTGGGCCTGATCATGGTGTTATATGCTGAAGTGAAGGAACCCTTCGTTATTCATAGCAGAACTCTTAACGTTCTTGTCTTAACTCTTGTGTATGTCTTGGGACTTCCAAAAATCCTGGATAAGCAGAGAAGGCATAGGTGTATAGAAACAATGTGAAGGCTTTGCGTTTTGAGTGCTTGTTTGGCCAAAGATGGATACATCCCCCTGATAAAAGGAAATACTGTATAATCATTTCTTCTTAGAATGCCTGCTATTATCCCAGAGCTTGAAAAACCTACTGTTTAGGATTACCATCCAAGCATTGCCCACCAGCCTTGTTGGCTGGAGAGGTTCTGGCGAGTTCTGGTCCAGCAAAGTAAGCTTTCGAAGCCTTGCCTTTTCCCCTGGACATACTTTTTTGATACTGTGCTGTCTCCGCCTTGAGATGGCAGGGGATGAACAACAGTTCTCATCATCCTTAGACACTGGCATGTTCTCCTGGGTTTGATGGGTATGCCTGCGAGAACAATATCAGGCTAGATATCCCACTTGAGGTGGATTGTGCCTCAGTTCTCTTTACACAAACTGACCCGGGACAGTCCTCTCTGCTCCTGCCACCCAGGATCCCTTTTCTCAAAACTCTTTCAGTAACTGCCAAACGTTTTGTTACTTTATGGACAGGGCAAATCACCTTCTTTAGTATCCACACCAATAGCCTGAGAGGTTTTTTTTTTTAAAAAATTATTATTTAGTGTTGTAGATTTACAATGATTGGTGATATTACCAACAGAAGTCCAAGCATACGCTGTGACCATCAGTTTCGTACACAAGCACGGATACTCTGTCTGCAGCCAAAATACTGTCCCCTAATTTACAGCTCTGTAAGGATGATGATGTCAGCAGCAGGAGATTTCCAGAATTAAAGAGTTCCTGCCTCCATCCTGTGGCTTGTCTGGCATGTGTAATCAGTCCTATTGTTCATGAGTGTGCCAGTAATATCATCACCTTTATGTAGTTGTAATTCATGGAAGAAGATTTTGGCTAATGAAGACCAAATTCACACAACTGGCACCTTCTATGATTCCTTCTTCATATGCATAAATATCCAATACGATACTGACCATAGGTTTAAAAAGCAGAACAAAACTCTGTAATTGAGAGTTCAGAAATGTATGTTAACTTTATCTGCTTTCATTATATACCTTAACAATATATCCCATTTATTCCTGATTTGCTGTAGACTCTTGTGGAGAGCCATCCAGCGGGAATAAATACTCATACCTGTTTGAACTTGCCAGATCACATCTCAGAGGAGGCCAGATCACTTTTGCAGCAGGTAGGTCCCTCAAGAATGTATGTGATTATGTACTAAGCTCACAGAGATTCTTGTTTGAAGGGCTGGATGTTATCTCGCTTTTTAAAACAGGAGCCATATTTTGAGATTAGTCAAGATTGATGTCAGAGGGAAATTCCCTTTGAAGCCAAGCCGAATAAGGGAGGTTGAACCACCGCACAAGCATAGTTGGGGCAAAGGTTTAATGTTTCATTCTTTTCACCTTACCCCACTCCACCTTACAGCTGCTGTTTGCTTTCTTTAGAAAAAACCACAACAATATTTATTAATTACATGAATAGTGTCAAATCAGTCACATTGGTTTTTGCCATTATACCTTCTGCCTAACATGTCATCTCTTTCTCCTTCTTTTCTCAGATGCTGTTTAAAATATATCCAAATACAAATAGGGCTGGATTTTGCACTAATTTAGGCTTTACACTTGATCCAGTTTAAGAAGCCTTGTAGCTTTCCTAACATGTATATTATTTAAACATTTTTTGTTATTTTAAATATTCATGTTGCTGATGCTGTTGCTATTTTGTATCCAGAGGCTCCTCAGATTCATTAGATGGTAACTTTCTTAGCCAGTGGTAAAAGAAGCTCTGAGTTCTAGCTCAATACTACAGTGGGGTCTCTACTTAAGAACGTCCCTACTTAAGAACAATTCCACTTAAGAACAGCTCCATTTGCTAAATTTTGCTTCTACTTGAGAACAAAAATCCAAGATAAGAACAGGAAAAAAAACTTTCCTGTTCTTTTTTTAACCTTAGGTCATCTTAGGTTAAAAAAAAGTTCTCCCCCTAGTGGTAGAGTACGTATTAACCAGCTTTGCATTAGTTCCTATGGGAACTAATGCTTCAATGTACGAACGCACCTTTACATAACAAAAAAACAGCCAGAACAGATTAATTGGTTTTCAGTCCATTGCTTCAAAATTAGCTTCGTCAGAAGTGCTTTTAACACTGTTCCCTGACCTAAGGGGGGGAAAAAAAGAAAAAATATCCCCCTCTAGTGGTAGAAGGCGGAATAGCAGCTTCCCATTAGTTTCTATGGACGGAAAAGAGCAGATACAGATTAAATGGTTTTCAATGCATTCCTATGGGAAATGCAGATTCTACATAAGAACTTTTCCACTTGAGAACCACATTCCAATACGGATTAAGTTCTTAAGTAGAGACCCCACTGTATTTGGAAGATCGCACTTGGCCCTCTCTTTCATTAAGCTTTAAATTACTCAGCTTATGCATAAATCCAGCACTGTATGTTTGGATGCAGATCTGATACTGTAACAAATGATCTACGAATTAACCTAGTGAAATTCCTTGTGTCGCTATTTGCTCAGCACAGAAATTCTTCAATTTTTGTTCTTTATCCCATGAAATGGAAGCAAACAGTAGCATTTTGGACTATACATCCCATAATTTCTAGAGATCCCACCTACAGAACCCAGGCGTTACAGACATCTACATTGTGTGACCTGGAGAGAAGGTGTAGCTGGCAGGCTTCATGCTTTGCATAGGCCTAACTTCCTGTTTAAAAAAGAAGATGGCTCAGTGGTTGATGGAAAGCTTCCTTTTCAAACTGGAAGATAGGCCTATGCAAGGCAGGAAACCTATCAGATGGGACTTCTCTTCAGGGGAACACAATTTAAGTTTCTGTAAGGTCTGGATTCTACACGTGGGACTCCAAGATAGGAGAATGATGGGATTTGTAGTACAAGAAATATGAAATTCACACACCTAGCAGACAGTGCTCTATAATCTAGAGGAATTAATGCTTAATGGAGTGGTCTGTCAAAGTTCTACAGCCATAAATACCCCCAAGTCCCAAATGTTATGTTATGTGCTGTCAAGCCAGAATTGACTTATAGCAACCCATATATGACTTAGAAGGTAAGTGAAATATTTAAGGAGTGATTTTTAACAGTTACACACTCCCCAGTGAGCTTCCATGGCTGAGTGGGGATTCCAACCCAGGCTTTCAGAGTCCTAGTCTGTCATTCTACCCACTACATCACATTGGATATTCCTAAAGTCACATTTAGCCACTTTTATTTGTCTAAGCAGACAAAAGTGGAGCCCCAACCAGCACGGCCAGTTATAAAAAAACCCCAACAAAACAAAACACAGGGATTTGTAGTCAGAATGCCAGAGGGCCAGAAATTCCTGATTCTTGTTTTAAATTGTGATTTGTCTTTGCAAGTTATTAAGGAATTACTGAGAATTCTAACAGACGTCTATAACTGTGCTCATGAAAATATAATAAAGAACTAGGTTTACTACGGAATTTGAGTTAGCCATCTCTGCAAAATTTTGCCTGCGCAATGGGAATGATATCACCAGCAAGAGCACCAGATTGCTGCTCATTAAAGATTCCTTTTTTTCAAATTCAGGGTCCATGCAACTTTGTCTTATTGCGTATAAGTCATGTGCATTCTGAAACTTTAGTTAGCAGCAATCTGCCACTGCTAGTGAGATCATTCCCACTGTGCAGGCAGAACTATGCAAAGAATAATAACCACTCAGCTAGGTCTTGAAGAAGGCCCTTGCAGAACTTTTTTTTAAAGTAGGGGACAAGAATTAGTACAACTCCAGGAATTACCTAGTCAACAAATAGCCCAGTATACTAATATTTGCCATCGTGGGTCCTTTGCTATGGGTTATCTGAGGCTAAACACCTATTAACATTAGCACAGGCAATGCAATAGTTTGTATTCCTGTGCAATCACGATCAAAAATTTCATCCGTTTTACAGAACCTCATAAAAAACTGGCAGTTTTCCTTCCCCCACAACAAAGAGACTGAGAAGTGGAATTTTACCACTGGCATCTTAGAAATGACTGTGAAAGCAATACATAGCAACATTGGGCTCCTCTGAGATTTTAAGCCGGGCCATTTACTCTTTCCCTCCACCCGAAGTTCAAAGTCACCGGTGTCAAAAAGGAAGTGTTCCAGGCCTTGCTGCACGTGGCTGACTTACCGGTCAAAGGTTCTGCCCCACTGGCTAGTAAATCAACCTTCTGTTGTGTGTCTATCCAAGGAAACTACCATTCATTTGTGAGGAAGCTTGGTCAGGAAAAGGAAAAAGGGAGTCTTGGCATGGCTGGCCATTTGTCATTGTGATTTTCCTCTTCCACCCCCGTACAGGTTACTTGGGTCAGCCCATCACTGACTGCCTAGGAGAGGAACCGTGTGCAGAGCTATGCCAAAGGTGTCCCGTGACACAGTTTCCAAAAGCAGTGACCTCAATTTTTCTTTGGAAAAAAAATAGACTTTCTCCCTATGCCCCCAATTACATCCACCAGAATTTAGAACGCAGTATTATTTATTTTTGATTGCCTAAAGATTCACATGCCGTTCTTAAGGCTGTCTTAACTGGCACTCTGTGTACAAGGTACTTTTCAAAGGGAGTGCCAGCCGGCATAATAACCCGTGTGTTTTCGAACCTTGTAGATGGAGCACAATTTATTCTGCATTTCCTTTCTGAGATTAAAGTTCTTTTTCGTGCAAAGGAGGGGAAACCTTCAGAACATACATTTCTTTGCACTTAACTTCCCCACCTGCTGTCGCTTGTTAAATTTTCCAGAGGACGGAGGAGTGACAGTGTCTGCTTATATGCTGGCTCATGTATATTCACAAAAAGAGACTTGTTTTGCCGTCTGAGTTATCTTTGCCAAGGGAGGTTAGTGGGATTTTAAGTGGCAGAGCCCACTTAAGATGTGCAAATGAATACATTTTATCGGGAAATTTCTCACTTTGATTACTGGATGTATGCATTTGAAGACATGCACCCTAAAAAAAAAAAATACAGAGAACTCCTAAATGACAATTGGAGGTGGGGAGTTCCATTATACTATAGTCAGTCCTTCAGAGGAAACCCAGAAATGAAATTATTCTTTTGAACTGTTTATTTAGAATGCGACAAGTCTCATAAGATGGCAAAATGTAAACTTCGGGTCCTTTATACTTAGTAAATATTTTCATGCCTCTTTGCTGGTTACTTCTTTTCAAGCAATCATTTTCCATCAGACACTGCAGTTATGAAGAGAATCTGCCATTCCTTTCTACATATATATTCATTGCCCCTTTTTTGAATATGCTGTAGACTTCTTCCCCAATGTAAAGTAAACAAGTTGTTTAATTTTAATAAATGTTGGCAGTCATCTGCTACACTTTCTTTAAGGACTTAGCTGGACAGTTCCCTGCTTTTCAAGGGCTCTCTTTTGAAGCATGTATTTAAGTTAGGTGAGATATATATATATATGTATAACAATTTAAATCTGAATGCAACAAGCACATGTTGGCTGATACCGGGATCATAATGTATATGCTTACCAGGAAGTTGAGATTGGTTGTGGATCTCCGTAGACCCATGCTTCATGCCAGTCCTGGGTCTGTTGACATAGCATATGGAAAATGATTCTATATAGATATGAGGAAATAACTGTAGCTGTTAGCTGAAGAAGGACATAATATCCTTTGCCAGTGTGCTGTATCAAATGCAATCTGGCATTTTCATTCTAGCAGTGAACAGCTTGTCACCTTTCCAGATGTTGTAGCACCATGAACAAGTGTGGATGGTGGCCCTCCAGATTATTTGGCCTACGACTCCTATCACTCCCAGCCAGTTTAGCCAACAGTGGAGGATTATGGGAGTTGTAATGTGGAAACATCTAGAAGGCCATTAGTTGCCCCTTCTTGGAACTAGAACTATTATCAAACCTGACACATTGGCTGTATTTGCTGAGGCTGATGGGAGATCCAACATCAAAACAGTTGTATCTGCCCTCCCTGTTTTATTTACCTGAACTGTACATCTTATGAACTCTGTTTTGTCTTAAGCTTTTGCAGTTCAATTCTGTGGAACGTCTTGGTGCTGGAATGGCTGGCGTAGAAGACATAAAATCTCACCCCTTTTTTGCCCCAATTGATTGGGCTGAGCTGACCAAGTGAACAATCCAGCAAGGCTTCTGCTCGTGCCTGTCGGGACCTCTTGACACCTGAGAGGACCTTTGGGGGCTTATTGTAAAGACCTTTGGATCTCTCAGCATGGATTTGGACAATTGCACCCGAATGACAGCTGTTCCACTTAGAAAAATAAATCATAGTCTATACTGAATTTACTGCTTTTTAGGCTGGAATGAGAAGCCTGCCACTGAAACATCCCATTTGTCATAATGTTTTGGAAATGTGGCATCATCATGTCATACATTTGTACACTCCGACTTCACACGAGATAGAGAAGGCATGAAGAGGAGAGATTCAATGCAGGATCGACATGTCCGACAGAAACCTTGTGCTTGTGATCAGCTCTGGCCTTTGTGAGGACTTCTGTAAGCAAGAAAGCACTCCTCGTGTTTACTTTTTTTAAAAAATTGTTAATAGTATGAACTGCCCATTGCACATGCCAGCATTTATTGTATATGCCAGCAGCAAAGCGCCCCTCCTTTTTTATAATGTCAGTATGCTTTCCCCCTAACTGAAGTATAGCTGAGGTGGGTGGGAACTTGGGGAACGAATAACTTATTGAAGGCATATATGCTCAATAAAATACTGTGGTGCTTCTGCAAGACTTGACATGTAATATGTGTGTCTTCAAGTGAGCCTGGCGGGGGGACAAAAACTGTTTTGCAGTATCATGCAGCGTAATTTCAAAATGGTTGTTTATCATCATCTGTTGAAAGATGCTAGAGAGTCATCCCACTGTTGTTGTCTCCATGCTTTACTGGTTGTGCACTCACTCTTTAACATCCTTGTGCACTCACTCTTTAACCTCAAGTGAATTATATGCTTTAAAGTCACTCCAAGGCAGGAAGTCTTTTCCCACAGCCAGATAATGATGGCATTAGTAATTTAACATGGACAAAGGAAAGAGGATGCTGAATAAATGTATGAATATAAATGGTGCTGTTTTATTTAAGCTGAGTTACCACTCTTCAGTGTGAGAGAACATGCATTGGTCTGCAATGTTATTGGACTACAAACTCCATCTATCCTAGCTGGCATAGTCAATGGTGAGGGAAGATGGGAATGATAGTCGAACAGGATTCAGAATGCCACACTTGCACAATTACTTGTATGGAACATTTTAGGTTTGATCTGTACAGGCAGGTAAATCAAGCTCTACAATCCTCTTACCCCTGTAGAATCTCTGTAAATCAAACTGTACAGCTTTCCTGAGCTTGTAAATTCTCCAGTTACTGGTGGAGCTTCGGATGCTTGATGCTTTACTGGGTGAAATGCTGCCTGACTAGAATCTGTCAGACAGAAAGATTCTATTCCAACCTTTCACTAAAACGCTTCTTCTTATGAAGGCAATTTTCATTCATTTGTTTTATCTCCTTTTTTGTTTACGTTGGGAACATTTGTGGGTTGATATCTACAGAATGATATCTACAGAAGCCTGTGCTGCAGGGTCAGAAGACCAAGCAGTCGTAAGATCGAATCCACGCGACGGAGTGAGCGCCCGTTGCTTGTCCCAGCTCCCGCCAACCTAGCGGTTCGAAAGCATGCAAATGTAAGTAGATAAATAGGTACCACCTCGGTGGGAAGGTAAACAGCGTTCCGTGTCTAAATCACACTGGCCATGTGACCACGGAAAGATTGTCTTCGGACAAACGCTGGCTCTATGGCTTGGAAACGGGGATGAGCACCGCCCCCTAGAGTCGGACACGACTGGACAAAAATTGTCAAGGGGAACCTTTACCTTTTTTTTATCTACAGAATGAAACTACATAGACCCAAAAATTCAATATTACATTTTATTTACATCTGTACATAGGCTGTAAGTTATGAAGGTGTTATTTTTTCTGCTCCTAGATTCATTTCTTCCCTGTTTTTTCTGTAAAAACCATTTAGAAGTTTTAAAAGAGGTAGTCATGTTAGTCTGAGCTAGCATATGAAAGAAAATAAAGAATAAAAAAGACAAAAACATTATGGCACCTTAATTACTATATTTTAATTTGAGCTGTCTGACGAAGTGCACTTGTTCAAAAAAACCCCTCATATTAAAATATAGCAGTTAGTCTTTAAAGTGCCACAACATTTTGTCCTCTTTTTAAATTTTTCTTTTGTTCTATGGCCTGACAGATTGTATGTGTGTTTTTACTCTTGTGAACCCTCCTAAGGAGGAGAGAGACTTTGGAATAATTGTGCTTAGATTTGAGAGATCTTGTATTAGATTATCCCACCAAGAGACCAGATACTTGTGGGAAATCCACAGCTAGAATATAGGCAAAAAAGCTTGCTGAACCCTTGTAGCCGCAGCATCTTATATAAAAAGTCATCCTGTCTTCGCTACTGGAGGAAAAGTACCTGAGTCATGTCTGGTAGCCATCATCAGCCTTGTCCTGCATGAATTCGGCCAGTCCTTTCTACAGCCATTCAGTTTGGCTGCCCAAACTATCTGAGCATTCATACAGTACACTGGGATGCTCATCCACAATTATCTGTCTCTTGCTTATTCTTTCTTTCCCTCAGCTTTATCCGGAGAGCAAAGGGCAAATTCCTGTACTAAAGGGCTTTTCAGGCTTTTCAACAACTGTTGCTGCTCATCCGACTTCATATGTTAACCTTACATTTTTATGAGTCTTTCCCCCAAGTGCATCTGATCAGGTGACATCTGCTAGACACCAGAACTGGGCATTAATGTAAAGTGGAAAAGGAAAAGACTTCATTTAACCAAAGGAAATCTGGGGGCTCTGTTCTTTTTTCCTTTTGAAATTGTCCTGCTCCCGTTTTCCCCTGCTGTCTCTCTCTCTTGTGATAAAAAAAACCCCACAAATCATAAGACTGTAAAAACACTGTGGGCTACAACTAGGTCACCAGTAGAATGACTACTATGGTGGGCTGTCCAACATGACATCATCCTCCAAAACTTCATCTGAACAAAATCATTCCATGGCTCCATAACAGGAACTCCCCTCAGGTAAGCTGCAGAAACAGCTTCCTGTGCTGAGGGGTGAGGAAATTTCTGAAGCTGAGAGAAATAAAGAGCTTCCTTCCAGCAGTGCCCTCATTTTGAAGGTGACTATCCCCCTAGGGTGACATTGTAGACATTACTGTTAGCAGCCTGTTACCATTGGTCTTATCCCTTAAGCTACTAGAAGATCATTAGCTTTCTAAAAATTTGACATTGTCCTCATATTGTTGTTATTTTGGCCAAAATCCTGTTATCCTCGTATAAGAAAGATCACACCAGTCTTTGTAGCAAATTGCTGCTTGTTAACGAGGTGCTGGCTATATTGCTGGCCCTGCACCTCATTATGAAATCAGGCATTCGGCAATGAACACAAATAGCATCTTGTTTGAGAGCAACAATTTGACATCAAGACTTGCAAGATTTTCCTTATGCAAGGATAAATCAGCAATAGGATCCTGGCCTATATTACTATTAGGATTTTGTCTGAAATTTTTTACACAACGAAAGTTACTAAAGAAGTGCATGATATAAAATAGTAATAAAATAATATGAAACAATTAGAAACAAGAAAATATGGCTCAAATAGAACAAATGAAGAGTGAAGAGAATAAGCATGCTGGCAAGTGTGATATCCAAAAGGACTTTTGAAAACAGACATTTTAATCTTCTACAAGGGTGACAGAGAAAGAGCAGTATAGCCCTTAGGAAGCTTTTATAAAATTATAAACACACAGATGCACTCTCAAATGACATTGTCATCAAGGCCTCCTTAGTCAGGCTTCCTGAACCAGCTGTATTGGCTTACCTCTCTCATCATCTCCACAGCATAGAAGTTGAATGTTCAACCACATCTCTGAAAAGTTACTCTTTTTAAGAAGCTAACTCCCAGAATCCTCCAGAAATGGTGGTTGGGGATTCTGTGAGGTGTAACTTTTCCATGCTCTGAGCCCAATGTGTCTGGAGAATACCAGACTGGGAAAGACCTAATCTTGAATCATGAGGTGGGATCTCTTTTGCTTCAGCATGAACAGAACACCTGCAGGAAATGCTCTTGGTGCATTATTACTACACAGGTACAATTCACTCCAAAGTTAGTATCTAGCTACCTGTCTGTCTGTCTGTCTGTCTGTCTGTCTGTCTGTCTGTCTGTCTGTCTGTCTGTCTGTCTGTCTATCTATCTATCTATCTCCAAGCTTGCAAAAGTTAAAAAAAGTAAGAAAAACGTAAAAGTGAAAAAAAACCTCCTTAAAGGTAGGGTGAACAGTAAAGCCTCCAAATAAGGATTAAGCATGCTCAGTGGCCATGGAATGCTGAGACTATTGAAGGACTGAGGATGGAAAAGTTGGAAAAGGAAGAATCTACAGAGCGTCTTGAAAAATGTTGGTGGCTGGATCAGGAACATTCCATGTCGCTACAGGTTTTACTTACTCCTATGAGATTGTTTGTAAATAGAAGGAAATGGTCTAAGGCAGGAATGAGCAATGATGGTCCTTTGAGCATTTTTTAATTACAATTCTAATCACCCTTCATCGTTGGGTGTGTTTATAAGGATTGATGGGAGTTATATAGAGCAGAAAGATCTGAAGGGATATTTGCCCATCTCTACCATAGGCATTATGTAGAAGAGCTTGAGGATGCTATTGGTTCAACTACTCTGGTCTAAGAGAGAAGACAGCAAAAAGGAGCCTATAGGAGGAGAAGTAGCAGAAGGGTTCTGAGAAGACAGGATGAAATGAGCTGGGGGCTGGTGGAGGTGGTAGAAGAGCTTCTTGGAAAATGCAAAGAGGATGAAGAAGGCAACAAATACATGGGATGCCAAGGTGACTCTAACCTCTTGATTTGAAGAATTCATTTGACTCTTTGGGTGTGAACGGATTGTATACACAACTCTGCTTGCCACCCCATTTCTGCACAGCAACCATGGATCTGAAAGTAATTTTCAAAACAGAACGAACCCTACTTCTTTTTGTTATGTAATGCTAAGTCACTTTCTGCTTATGCAGATCTTACACATTCATGACCTCAAAAAAATCCAGTTCCTGGATCATATCTTGTCCGTAGCAGTTTCTCCACCCTGATCCACCCAAACTGTTAGACATGGAAAGGATAACATATAACAGCTGTCCTTATGTTTTCCATGCTATAGTTAATAATAGCCCTGGAGAAGAATCATTTGGATCACACATAAATAGAGAAGATTAGATCCTACAACCATGAAGTCATAGCTCCCCCAGTCCTAATCAGAGGTATTCTGCAACTGCTTTCAACAAAAGGTGGTTACATATAGAGATCTTGACAGGTCTTGTGAAAGGATTCAGACCCCCCCCCCCAAGCTGGTGATCTTTCTAAACTGCTGGACCCTAAGCCCAGGCATCGGAAGGTGATCTTTCTAAACTGCTGGACCCTAAGCAGGGATTCCAATTTCTTTAAACACACATGAGTTCTGGCTGGAAAAAAAAATCCACCTAGCTTAAACTTATCCTTGCTTCTGTAGTACCTTGGTTTCCAACCTTGGATATCCCAGGTATTCTTGGACAGCAACTCCCAGAAACCCCAGCCAGCACAGCTAGTGGTGAAGGTTTATGGGAGACGCAGTTCAAGAATACCTGGGTTACCCAAGGTTGGGAACCACTGCTCTAGTAAGGTGGA